TGAATCAACCCACGGTCTTCAGATTGTACCAAAACCAAAACAAACTTCTAGGTATAAAAACCATAAAACTTCTTGATGGGAATTCAAAACGTCTAGATATAAATCCAAATAAAATTATTTAGTACATCGGATGACCAAGATATGTTAAAATTCAAATCAACTTGATTCGTTGACATCCAAGTCAAAAATAATTCTCACAAGGCGAATATAGGAAGAAGACAAATGACATTTAAGAGATGGTTGTGTCGGAATAACGGTTCCAACCGTTACAATGTATAATGTGAAATCAAGGTGGCATTATCAGAGTGAAATTTTGGCTCCAATTTGGGTTAATATTCACAACAGAATCCAATAACTTTGAAATTAAATATTTATGCAACCGTTTGAGCTAAGAATATGCGGTTTGCGGAATTGAACTTTTCTTGTTAAACTCTACAAAATGGTAGGTATGCATAAATAATACGATACCTTTTTCATTTTTTATTTCATTTGGGAAAAATATGAAAATTGAAAAAAATACGTACTATTGTTCATTTATTTTAAATATATTTTATTAATACCCAATAATAATATATAAATATAATAATAATGTAATTATTATTATTATTATTATTATTATTATTATTATTATTATTATTATTATTATTATTATTATCATGCTAAGTAAAATGTATTTAAAATAAATAAAGACAGTACTTACTTATGAAATTTTCATTTTTTTCAAAATAAATAATTAAAGAAATATTGCATTCACGGGAATCGAACCGCGTCGCGAAATGCACATTCGACTACTTGTTCAGTGCTCTACAAACTGAAATAACGTTGCATATCAAGTAAGTTATTTAATAAAATATGTGTATCGTAAATTTTTTAGCCGATATTTTTTACAACTTTAAGTTGTCTGACGTCTCCTTTGCAGGGTTTTTAAAATAAATCCTTCCGGATGGTCCCACTTTATAAAATTCCAGTCGGAGATACGACGTGTACCATCTTGCGACCATTAGCTCTCTGTCTAATAGTGATTCTAAATCGACTTAATGAGACATACAAAATGGAATAATACACGATATTTATCGGCGAGCATTGAATCTTTCTTTGTTGTCTTATTCGGATTTTACAAAGGAAACGAAAATTCCAATTTACACAATTTGAAAAATTACAAATTCCATAAATACAGTAAAATTGTGTTAAATCCGAAAACAAAAAATTTAAAACCTGAAATTTCCGAAATACCAGCCATTATTAATCAAAAAATCTGATGTGTCCAACACATGACTTTCCTATCTAGTTATTATAGCTTTTCCGGTTATTTTGTACAACCTATTGTAGCATCTCTATAAATGTTTAGAGGATAAACTAAATATATACATTGTCCACATACACCTACCTCGAAACATTTTTCTATAGATATTCATGGAAAACGAAAATACTGAAAAATTTAAATTTCCTACAATTTTTTCATTACGGTCCATTTTAGAAAAATCATGTATAAACAAAAATTATAGAGATCGATATCGCAAACAACTTTTATTTCAAAAACTTTCATAAAAATCAGAATTTTGCACATTTTGTCAAATTTCTCGAATACGGACCATTTCAGGAAATTTTTACAAAGAACAAAAAGATAATAATATTAGGAGTAACTTTTATTTGAACAATTTTTTTCTCCAAACATTAATAACAGATATATTCCATAAAATATAAAAACGGCCTCTCATAAAGTACCCCCCAGATGTTCCGACTTTGTCCAAAATCTAATCATTTCACGTCAGGCCGAAATAAACCTTAAGTTTAAAATTTAATGTTTTTTTCTTTATCCGTTTTTGAGTTTTTTTCAAAATTCGAAATTTACATATTTTCTCAAATATCTCGAATACGGTCCATTTTAGAGAAATTATGTATAGAATAAAAATTATAGAGAATTATATTACAAACAACTTTTATTTGAACAATTTTTATAAAAAATTATTTTTTTTACATTTTGTCAAATTTCTCGAATACGGACCATTTTAGGAAAATTTTGCATAAAACAAAAATTATAGATAATTATATTAGAAGTAACTTTTATTTGAAGAATTTTCTTCTCCAAACGTAAATAACAGATTTATTCCATAAAATATAAAAATGACCACCTATAAAGTACCCCCCCAGATGCTCCGACTCTGCCCAAAATCTAATCAGCTCATTGGACGTTGAAACAAAGCTTAAGTTTAAAATTTGGTGTTTTTCTATGTTTCGGTTCATGAGTTATGCGTTATACAGACACACACACACAGACACACACACACAGACACACACACACAGACAGACATCATCGCGAAAATAGTCAAAACGGATTCAGGGGACCTCAAAACGTAAAAATCCGTCGAAAACGCGAGGTCGAAAAAAATCATGATTCCTAAACTTTCCTTATATCTGTATACAGATAGGAAAGTAAAAAAGTATGGGTCAAAATGTTAAATTTAATTCCAAATTGTAAAATATTTCGCTTGTGATGTACCTTTAACTTCTACTCTGAATGTTACAAAAAATTGTTAAAAAAACTATCTCTTCAAGAATTTTAATACAACGTTTTTTTTTTTAATTTTACAATGAATCATAATTAGAAATAGCCGATCTCCATAAACTTAATATTTTTCATATTCCTTTTAAAATTATACAATATGTGGATGATGTTTATGTTTATACTGAACACCGAAAATATGAAAATGTAGTGGGGTCATTGGACTCCATAGCAAACAAATTAAATTCTTGATTAATCAAAAATGGATTACAATTACAGTTACAATATTTACTAGACATAATTTGCCAAATAATAATATACGACTTAATAACGTAGATTTCACAATAAAAAACGAAGTAAAATACCTAGAGTTAATCCTTGACAGAAAACTTACGTGGAAAACGCACATAGAATAAATGTAACAAGGGACTGAATTTTCTGAAAATGGTTGTAAAAACCTGGTGGGGTGCTGATGTAGAAACAGCTTTATTATTTTATCGCGCTTATTTGAGGTCAATATTGGACTACGGTTGCATACTTTATGGATCTGCTAGTAATAATTTACTAAAAAGAATCGATGCATTTCAAAATACAGTTTTACGTTTATGTCTTGGAGCAATGAAATCAACACCAATTAATCCTCTCCACGTAGAAGCACTTGAACCTCCACTAGAGTATCGACGGACATATCTTAACGAGAAGTTTCTGACAAAAGTACACCTTCAAAATATAGAACTTCTTGGAAATATTAGCCGACTACATGTATTTGACCTTGTTAATAAATATTGGAAATTAAAAAATTCCCCACCATTGTGCATTGCGTTTCACCAATACCAAACTCAGTTGCCCAGCATATATAAAACTGATGATCTAACACAACTTGTTGACTGTCCTCTATTTCTTCATAAAAATCGTATCATTCAACCATATGATGACTCTGATGTACGCATAAGTAGAAATATATTGAGGTAATTTCTATCTAGTTGGGCAAACGCCCTAATCATATATACTGATGCTTCTAAAACCTCCACTGGAACAGGTTTTGCTTATTATATTCCATATAGAAACAGAGAAATCACACAGTCTGAATTCTGCATTTTCTATTTTTAGTGCCGAAGCTTTAGCCATATACGAAGCTTTACTATATGTCAAATCGATTAATCACAACAGTGCAGTGCTAGCTTCCGATTCTCTATCTGTTTTAAAGGCCCAACTGTTAATTGTAACCCATATATCTTTAAAATTAAAAAGCTTGTCGCAGAGTTATCTCTAACTGGTACACTAATTCATTTCTTGTGGATAAAAGCTCATATAGGCCTAGCAGAAAATGAACATGTCGATAAACTTGCTAAAGATAGTATTAATATTGGATATCCACATCCAGACTACAACTTATGCGTGGGTGATTACTTTGTTACTCTCAAAACCAAACTACGTTTAATGTGGTCGCATTCATGGAGTGAATTTTCTTTCACTAACCCAACAAGATACACATTGTTACATCCGACCATACCCACAAAATATTCGCATAAGCAGTTTAATATTCCTCGCAGATTTATTACAACAATCATTAGACTCAAATTTGGACACGCATGTTATCCCCAACATCTTTCTCGTATAAATGTTATACCTAGTGACAACTGTGAACAGTGTGGAGGTATAGGTGGTTTAGATCACATTTTCTTTGAATGCACTACGTATCAGAATCTGTCAAATGAATTATATAAAAAACTGTTCATGGTAAATATAACTGCTCCGTTTAATGTATTGTCAATTTTAGCTTCATCTAAAAAAGAAAATTTTGATTGTTTGATAGAATTTTTGTCAAAAGCAGATATAAGATTATAGTAGATTTGTTACATTTGTTTTTGATATATCCTAATTACCTTTGTTATATTACCCTACCCATACCGTGGCCTATTTCTAGTGTCTTAAAAATAAAAATGTCATGATGGGTCCCTGGGCGAGAAACGAGTGTCCTTGTTTATGTCCTTTGAAAAGTATTGTCTTTTTAATTTTTGTTTGTCGTGATAGGTTGGTTTTGTTGCGATAGATTGGTTTTGTTTGGATGGATTATTATTTTTATTGCCATTGTTGTTTACCATTTATTTTGTATTGTATTATTTATATTATATTATTTATATTCATTAAGTGACTGGCTGAATGACAAAAGTCCAAGCCAAAAAGAAAATTACATTCATTATATTCATAAATTAGTAGTGAAAATATGTAATTTTTTATTATAATAAATATATGTTAGAATAGTTTTATTTTCAGAAAAAAGTATTACTGTAGATAAAGTATAGTGTACTATACTGTTTAATAAAAAAGTATGTGGCTCTGGAAAAATTATGGTACATATATTGTTACGAATATTTTACGTTGTCTTTATTTATCAACAGAATCTAAATTAAACGTAAAAAACGATTTTATTCTCGTCGAACCTTTTTCCTTCTCAACGTCACGCCTATGTTAAGAAAACCATGCATGCACTCACCTCATCGCATCCAGCACACCTTGGCTTCAATTTTTCTGCGTAATGTCTTTCGCAATAAATGCTATCCTCGTAAACGCAGTACGCAAGGTCCACCAACAGATCATCACAACTAGTACACTGCAAAAAAATGTAACATAAACAAAATGTATTACCTTCGTAATTTCGTTTTTAAAATAAATTCAACACAATGTTTATCATTTGATATGATATGGTATGTGTGTCGCACCGTCGCATCCCCTCTTCTTCAAAAGTTACAACTCAAAAAGTACCAGTTTTTGTTTTATATCAGCAAAGTTAATAAAAACCTTATACTTTTTATTAGTAAAAGTGTCACAAGTCGGTGTCTACAATTATTCTATAGAAGTGGCTAATGACATTTTTAAAAATTTTCGAATATTCCGTTCTTCAGCCATCAAAAGTGTCATATTTTGACTTGCGTCAATTTTTCTCTATAAAATTATGTTGAAGTTATCTGTTATAACGTCATATTTCGATTTGCAACACTGAAACAAGCCTACCACAGTGCAATAAAAAAGACTTATTGCTTTTATTTAAAACTATTACGTATATTTTTATAATTGGCAATTAATTTATTAATATTGTAATGTTTTCGAAATAATTTTAATTTTTTGTAGAATTATTTTTTTTGCGTTCGCGGTATTTTTTCTTAAAATTTTTGATTATGATAAGTAAATTATTATTTATGTCATAAATCAAAATTTGATGTATATTCAGAATCATAAAAAGCGACACAACTCAAAAAAGGTCAATGTTTGAAAGTAAAAAAATAAATTTAAATCTTGATTTCAAATCAAACGATGACTATAGGTATTTACCTAAACACCCTAAATTATCAAATCATATTAAATTATTTTCTATCTCATTATCTCACAATTTGCATTTTTGGACTTATGTCAACTTTGAAGAGAGGTGCGATATATTTTATATGACTACTTATAAAAATAGATTCAATTTATTTTACCTTAAAACAAGAAGGATGCCATACAGATTTACCTAATCTAGGTGCAGCTACACTTATCTGTTGACTATGGATTGGTTTGTAACAATGCGCACACGTACTATTTGGTGGGGTCAGTTTTGCCACCCCTACGTCTAATGCTACGTCATTTCTACCCGAGATAAAATCCTGAAAAAAAAATTACAATAAAATAAAATCTAATATATGATCTTTTTATAGTAGCCACTGCTGATACTCAAGAACCGCACCATTAGGGCTATTGTATTGTATTCAAGGCCATTTTATTGCATTCCAGGCTATTTTATTGTATTCAAGGATATTTTATTGTATTCAACGATATTTTATTGCATTCAAGGATATTTTATTGTATTCAAGGTTATTTTATTGAATTCAAGGATATTTTATTGTATTCAAGGCTACTTTAGATACTTCAAAGTCATTCGAAATGCTTCTCTTTTAATCTAGACATTCCAAATATCTTACTAACATACAAGCTTTTGTCTCCACATAATACCTAGTACAATTGAGAACATCCAATGAGGGATAATAGGCGAACTGTCACCACCAGGTGGCACTACTGAAACGTGAGGTCAATATTAAATGTCACTTTCAAGTGAATGGTGTGTTTGTTTTTTAATTTTATTGTGTTTTAAATATATATTTGAGAAAATAATGATTAAAATAGTAAATGTAAAAATACGGATAAATAATTAAAACAAGTGACCTAAAGGAAGAACTAAAAAGAAGCACTGGTAAAGTAATTGGAACTATATAAAAACTTATTGGAAGAAGTAAGTTTATAAGTGATTTTCTTGTGCTATTTTTTGTAATATTTTATTAATCTCAGGCACAAATTTGTAATACTCAATGGATAAAATACATACTATATTGATATCATGACAGAACTTCAACAAAATATATAGATTTGAGCACTTTATAATGGGCACTTTTGAAAGATCTTATTTTATTTGAATGTAAACATTTTTAAGGACTAAAGTTACTATTAAACTTGTAATAAATCTTTTCTACATTCAAAAATTTACATGGTGACTATCTGTGTCTGTAAAGTGTGGAGGGTGGGTTACCCCCCACGGCACTTAGGCCTCACTAGGCCCATTGTACAGCCTCCTAAAATGATAGAATGGTGACTAAAAATGTATGATTTTAATTAATTTGTAAATCGTAATTTGGGAGCATAGCTTTTTAAAGGAAGACATTTTTTTTTAAATATAATTATGATATACTTCAATGTTATACTGTAGAAATCAAGCTCTTTTTATGGTTGTTAAGGGAGTCATAACGGGCTAGCCCAATAAAAACAGTTATGACCGAACTGTCATTATTTTAAGTCACATTCGGAAACTAATGACGGTGTCATATGTTAAAATTTTATTTGATTTTAGGTTGTAAAACGTAGCAAATTTCAGTATATTATAAAACATTGTACGACACACGCCCGTTACCTAATCTCCAGTATAACTTCAAGACATTTGCAATGCTTATGAGATCCTTTTAGATGGTAACGATGGTTACTTTAAAGTTCAGACCATCGACAGCAATAATTTCAAATATTCAAAAACCACACATTTTAAGTAAACTCTACATCTCGAAGATCGTCTACAAGAAATTTTAACTTACATGGTAACTATCGCAGTTTTCAGGTTCGACGAATTTGCAGGCTGATAAAGCCAAGTCTTGCTTGGGTAGTTGTCTAACTATTCTTTGGGAACGATTCATTTCTCCCTTGGACCCGAGTTTGGGGACTTCCTCTGTCGGCAAGGTGGAATAATATTGGTCAACCTGTAAAAAACAAACAAAATAGGAAATTAATAGAATATAGAATAGAATACTTTATGCCCAGTAATACATATAAAATGTTTACATGGTCGTCAGTATTTAAACCTTTAAATAGTTAAATGCAAATAGAACATTGGCAAAATATACAACATTTTACATACATATACAACATATAAAATTTTAAATAAAAGAGTTTTTAAAGGTCAAAAGGGTTGGTAATAATAATTAAAATTAAAAAAAAATACCTCATATATATTATAAATAATAGGCAACATGTTTCACTCTTACAAAATAATCGTTAATGTTGTATAGGACATCTTTATCCTATATCTATGATAGGACACCATGCCCAGTAATACATTTTTAATTCACGATTTAAACTGTTTCCTGGTAGCTTATAGAAAGAAATACATATTGTTCAAGGCTTGTTTATTCTAGTTCGTGATTTTTCCTTCTGGTATTGTATCCATGATACTTCTTGCATACATGATTTGTTTGGCAGTTAAGCGTCAAAATATATGCCAAAAATAATATTCATTGTTTCACTCTTAGACTAGGTAATCCTAGTCTAAGGTTTCACTCACATATAAGGGACATGAAGTTATCTATGCGTCTCAGTTGTTAAGGTACACGTCGTTTATAAATAGACAGTAGACGTGACGAGCAGCGGACAGTTTGTAAAAATAAATGTAAATTAGTTTTATGTATATCGCATTCAAAGAACGCGTGTCTCAACATAACAGGAGCCATGAAAACAACACCGACTAGAGCCATGGAAGTCATTCTTAGTCTCACTCCCCTTGATATTTACATCAAGGAGGTTGCTCTGACGACAATGACACGCCTCCGCACGGTCGGAATAGAACCTGATATAGGATCTGGTGAGGCGAGACGTCACTTTTGGCAGGAGGCTCTGGATACGCTCCCACTGCTTCAAGCGAACATGGACTCCATCTCACCGAAATATATCTTTCATAGGCCATATAAAGTTATAATAGAACAAATAGAAGAGCCGGAAGTGGCAGATACGATTCATATCTACACCGACGGTTCTAAAACAAAACAAGGCTCAGGATGTGGAATTTACTCCAGATTCTTAAACCTAAACATAAAATGGGCTGTGAGCAATAGTGCCAGTGTAGTTCAAACATAGCTAACGGGGATTCTCATAGCAGCAAAAGAAATAACCAGAAACAATATCACTGGAAGGAACATGCTCATCTGTACAGATAGCAGACAAGCACTACTCACCCTGAACAGATCACGAATTTATTCAGGGTTAGTACTAGAATGTCACGAAGCTTTGGCCGAAGTATCCATCAACAACGTGGTCACCTTAAGATGGATTGAAGTTCATGCCACATCGAAAGGTAACCGTCTAGCTGATTCACTAGCCAAGAAAGCAGCCAAACAAATACTTTTTGGACCTGGTCCTTCTATTGGCCTGACAAAATCGGTAGTGACAGACCTAATCAAAGAACATTCTCTTGTGAAATTCAAGGAAAGATGGGATGAAACAAGAAACTGCAGAGTTGCCAGGGAGCTCTTAAGTTATCCTGATCATTGCCAGGTACGAAAGCATCTCCATATCATGGGGCTGTCAGAATCCGCACTCTGCAGAGGGTGCGAACAAGAAGATGAGACCATCGAGCATATCCTTTACGATTCCTCGACGCTTTCATTTATTAGAAGATTTGTGTTCGGCGAGTATCGGCTAACACCGGCCGATATAAGAGAAGCACCTCTTGGTGACGTTGTCAACTACATTAAATCTGTAGGCTGGCTCACGAGCTAGTAGGTGCCTATCTTCTCACGAGGATGCACAATGGGCCTAATGAGGCCTAAGTGCCGTGGGGTAACCCACCCTCCACACGTTACAGATACAGAGATCTATATCGCAGAATCCTGAATTTTTATTTTAAATTTTAGAGTTCATGAATGGTTTATATTGTAAGGTGAACTACGCTAAATAGTTGTGGTTGTTTTTGTGTGGAATTTGAGGACAATAATTACACTTTGTAACATTACAACAATGAGTCTGATCACGTATTACATTAGTAACACATGCCCCATTAATAAATTTAACAACCCCAATGTGGCGTTCTTTAATTTACCAGAGTAAGATCTAGCCATGTAAGTAATACAAACAGTAGCCAACTTTTGTCACAAAGTGTTTATTTGTTATTATTGTTTTCGAGCAAGGAAATAGATTCAAATCGCTGGATAGAAGATTAGGGAAAACATATCGGAATTCCCAATATGGAGTTTGCAGTCAACATTTTTAAAAATGAGACACCATTAGCCACTCGTTTTGAAAATAAGAACAAAAATGTTAAAGTTACAAAAATTAACAAATATTTGTCATGAATAGATTTACAGTAATTAATCGTAAGTGTAGTATTATTTTTAATAAATAATTTACATTAATTAACATATATTGTTTAAATGTATTTACCAGAACATGAAAATGCATATTTACAACCGTTATTATCAGGTTTTTAAATTTGCCGCTGCGTCGTTTGTTTGATATCTATGAAAGCGCCACATAGTGCGTCAGATGTTAACTGCGTTTGAGCTGGTCGTTGTTAAGCATGTGCTCTATATTTATGTCCCTTATCTCTGGTTTCAATAGTTGTTTGATTTAAGCTAAAGACACATGTTTCAGTTTAGTTGTGATTTTAAATTTTCTTTGAAATCAAATCATTGTTTAGCTTCCTTCAGTCGTAATCTTTAGAGTTTTTGATAAATATATCAGATGTGCTACTGCAGTGATAGGAAAAAATTGGTATCATTTTCGTACATGGTAATTAATATTTCAGCCTTATTTGAATTCATATAGATCACTAGTGTATATTTCAAATAATAGAAGACCCAGTATAGATCCTTGTGGGACACCCATTTTCATTATTAAAGGTTTATTTCTGTAATATACACTTTGTTGGCTGTTTTGTAAATATGTATTATGATGTATTTTTCAAATATTCTTGAATTCATTAAAGATAGCATAGCACCTATAGTTGTTCTTCCATATCTAAAACCATTCAGCAGAAAACAGGTTGAAGTTTTATGGATATTTTTAAAAACATTCTAAAATATGTATTTGGCATTTCATGTACAGTCATCTCCTTTTTTATTGCATGGTAGAACCTTGGATGTTTTAAAAATATCTGGAAATGTACTTTCAGCTAGACAATAGTTATTTTTGATTTAATATAAAAAAGAAGGAAAATCTGATGATGTTGAATCGGAAATATATGACGCATATATATTTTTTTTTTACCTGTCGAGCAGTGGAAAGTCCAGGAGGCACAAAGGTATACCCTAAAGATCTGGCGTCCAATCCATCGTGTGTGGCTATTAACCCCAATCGCGATCGCGCACCATGCTCGGCCACAATTTCGTGGCCATCCCGCGAACATTTGCAGTTCTTGCACGTCTTTCTGAAACAAAAATAAATAATATAAATAACGTTAACTTATTTCCAAGTTGATAATTAAACTTTTATAAAATATTATATCATTTGTAAGACACCCTACTCAATAAATTTACAAAAAAAATAAACTGTTTTTAACCAAAAACATTATTAACAGAATTCTAAATACGTCCCTGTCTACTTCTAAATTAACTTTCATGGACTATCGATTTCTATTTATATGCAACCAAACATACATCGATGTACAGGTGATTGCCTGTCCGTTTCGCTCAGTTTATTTACAAATTGCTTTTGAATTAATAAAAATAAGTTTTCGCAATTATAAATAATAAAGCACTTTTTAAATCAACCAAATAATATCTATTTAGACGGTCGATGTTGTATATTATGTATCATGTATCATAATATAAATACAGTGGTTGGTAACTGACGATATACCTAAATATAATAGGTATGTTAAAAGCGAATACTCTTTATATCTAGAATAAAATTGTAGGATATTTTATTATTTGTAGGATAGGTTAGGTTGGCGTTCGCCTATACAAATTTGTCGTATACATATCATGGAGGTACTAATACATATGCAGATGAGGCACCGACCTTCAAGTGAGGTAAGGTTACTTGAAACTTAGCTTTTGGGAAAATATACATGCTAGCATTAATTTTAATATAAAAAACCGTTCATAATGAGTACCCAGGGATTGTAAGGACGACTTAAAAAACGGGATATTCTAAAAATACTCGAAAAATGATTTTAAACTTATGGTATCTAAACCACGTGAAATCATTGATTTGCCTACGAATTTTCTTCAAAATTAAACGTTTTCTTTTCGTTACAACACGTACAACTAAAACGACAAAATAATGAAACAAATCACACTTCTAAATAATGTTTAGTTTTCCTGAAAGCTAGGTTTAAATAATATATTTTTTTATGAAAATTAATTATATTTTATAAATGATATACCTACATTACCTACCTATCGCGAGATAGCAGTAAGATAAAGTTTAGCTCCAACGTATATGCAACCGAACTGACAATGAAGTGTAATCGAGATTGCCTGGCGCCTGGCGTTCAGAACATTATTGTTTAGACTGAAAAGCAGTGACGGATTTAAACCTGGGCCAACATTTGAGGAGCATAAAAATTTAAAATATGGCTAAAATTAAGAAGTCGTCTGAATCTAAAACAATCCCAGGCGCTGGAAAGTTAAAATTTTTTCTTTCACAAGTTATACCTGTGGGAAAATAAATAATATATGGAATAAAATAACTCATATGGGAAAACGCAATATTTTCGTGATAATCTTTTTCATTATCTATAAAAAATGAAAAACAAACGTCTATGTATCAGTAAAAAACTATTATTTTACTGTTTATTTGTACAGGGTGACCTCATAAAAACTGATAATTATTTTTATCTCTTTCTTATTTAAATTTTTTGTTGTTTCATGTTATTCGACATCACTTATAAAGATAAACATGAATGAATAGTTAATAGATGTCT